GAAATCCGTACAGTGTACACACAGTCAATCTGATGCTGATGACATGCAGCTTCTGTTTCATTTTGAACCAACTCTTGTGGAACAGGAAAATGGTTTAATCAACACTAGATTTAGAACCAGTTTGAACCTAGCCTCCCATCTGCGAAAACCAAAAGCTCAGATACCTGGCAACCTCAAGAATTATAATCTTTAACCAAGTTTTTAAGCTTTACAGATATCAAGTCCCTTGTAATTCATTAAAAAAAATTGCTCAAGCGAATTTGATCTCGGTTACTTACTTACATAGATGTGACTTAAAACAACATGTAGGTTCTGGTGAAGATGTCGAGCTTTCACGGTTTCACGCATTTTCGGCAAAAAACGCCTGCAGGCATGAGCAATATACAGGGTGTTCATCTGAATACTTCCCTCCAAATTAAATAAAGATTTTATCCGAAAAAAATTTACGATTCTAAAAAAGCAAACGTCAAAATGCAGGACTTTAAACGACCTTTGGGACCTCGGTTGGCCGCGTGGGTCAGAGTGTCGTGCTACTGATCAGCCGGCCGGCCGGGCCGCGAGTTCGAATCTCGCCTTCGCCATGGATGTTGTGTGTTTGTTTTAGGCAGCAGCGGTGGCCGCAGTAGTAGACTCTTCGGTCTCCTGATCAGCCGCCGTGCGCTGTACGGGTTCGAGTCCCGTCCCAGGAGAAATGTTTCTCTTGGCCATGGATGTTGTGATTGTCTGTAGGTGGTAGATGGTCTCTGACTGTCGAACGCGGAGGTACCACCCGGCGGTTCTCGTAGGCGGAGCCAGAATGTGTGCATGTTGCATGCACACGTGTTCCCTCGCCAGAGTCCGTGTGGCGTCCCCCCTTTCCCATGTATCCCCCATAGCCCCACGGTACCCAATGGGTGCTTAGGCCTTAGGCCTTCGTGGTAGTTGGAGTATAAAAAAAAAAAACCTTTCAAACAAGCTATTACTCAATACGCCTTGTCATTTAAAATTTTTAAGGGAATGACCCTGGGGGGCTGATGGGTGAAGTAGTTTTTGGTTAAAAAGTTGTTTTTCATTTGTAATAGCAAGGAAAGGAGAAATCGATCTGATTTGGAGGAAGAAATTTGATCTGGACACTGTTTTAGTTTTATTCTCAGAATGTAGGAAGCACCAGTCAATATATTTTGCTACTTTCTAATTACACTACGAATTGTATCCAAGAACAATTCTACGAATCAGTAAACGCGAGAATCTTCAAGCTGTCCGTCTATTTGGACTTGAGAAAAATCGTTGGAAAGAACAAGTAGGTGCATCCGCCAGGGCTGTTTCACAGACCAGCGGAGCGGCAACTTAGATAAGACGCCATCTAGCCGTAAGCCTGCACCAACAGGGACTAATTGAGATAGTTCCCGTGTTGCAGAACAGACCGCTACCTATCATTAATTCTTCTGCTTGGAGAAGATGGTGTATTCCGTACGTTTCCAGACGAACGTATTATTTGTTAGCGGATTGGGTTTGTTCTACGAATGGTATTGATCGAAGGGGAAACACGGTACATGAGGCTTCTGTTAATTTGCCATTTCGTCTAATTAACATGAAGAAGTAAAGTCAACGGGAACAAAATCGTTGTGAATCAAACCACTGGCGTATAGATACAGGACGTTCTGTACTTCAAAGGACATAGTGAAATGCAGAGTGATTTATCTAAGCACGCCAAATCTTTAATACGACATCTCTCAGGGACTATTGAACCGATTCTGTTGAACTAGACTGTTAATGGATACAGGGTCATACCCGATTTTTCCCACTTTCTTGTTTTTTATCAAAACCAACACGTTTTAGGCTGAATAATGAAATATTCGACTATGGAAAACAATATATCGTGCTAACTAAGTAGCAACATAGATTGGCTGCGACCCTTCTGATTTTTAAATCAAAACAAATATTTATACAAATATCTTATTTTTAGCAGTTTATGTGACACGAAATTCAAAATTCCAAGGTTTACCAATTTGGTTTCATCAGCATCTCACGAAATGATGCTTGAAACTCAACTAAAAACGTTTTGGGAACTCAAAATCCCAGGATCGGATTCAGTTATATTATTTCCTAGTATTTGTTAGTATATTAATAAAAATTTAAAATTGTTGTTGTATAAATTCAGCCACCACCTTAGGCATTTTCTCATAAAAAATAGATGATAATACATGTATAACATACTATCGGGCTTTAGTTCAATATTGTTGTGATATTGGACAAGCTATTGAAAAAAACTCTCAACTAGAAAAGAATTTTCTGATCTTATACTTTTTCCATATCTACTTATCCTTATATATTATAATTTTTTGGTTAGGGTATACAGGATGGTCAAAAACCCAAGTTGAACGGTTTCTCAAAATTTTCAAACCGAACGTGCTGTATATTTTCGCACTTTTTGATGCTACTTTTCACAGGCTTTTTTTCTAGAATAAGGTTCTTGGGGGTTCGTACAACCCGTTTTTGAGTTTCTTGCGACACACAGAGACATTCTTGACTTTTCAACTTTATTGCATAAGGTTAGATAAATTTAATTCATAATGAAACTACAGAAAATCTAACGTTCTACAGGTGCCAACTGAATTCAAAACAAAAATTGACTAGTATTGTAATATTTTTCATTCACCTTGATATCCGATTTACAAAAATATTAAGTGAAACTCAAAAACCATTCGCTAAGATTCCCATAAATCTTCTAGTAAAAAGGGCTTGTAGAAAAAGGAATTAAAGTGTGAAAATGTACAGGGTGTTATATTCGAAAATTGTAACTAACCGTGCCTGAAGGCATTGCATAATCTACAAAACAAAAACCTGAAACAGTAAGTAGCCAGGGAGGCAATTTGGGATCATGGCAGAGTTTAATGTTTTCTTTTTCGATAGATTGTCAGATAACTCAGCAATTGATGAATAATACTCTATGGTATGTTATATCAAGTTGCTTCGTTTGAAAGGGCCTAAGCGATTCTGCAATGAAATGTAAGTCTTCCTAGTCAAAAATAAATATACTAAGTGACATCTAAATACAAACACCAAGTTTAAATGGTTTTATTTTAATAAAATTTTGTATAAGTACTTAATGAAGCATAATAAGTACATGATAAAAATTTCAAAATGATTGCACTGCTTTAAAGCCCTTTGACCTTTAATAATGTGTGGATGCACCCTGATGTGCTACGCATTCTCCAACGCACCTAGGCATGCTTCTGATCAGGTGGTCAATGTCCTTCTGTGGTATCTCATTCCAGGTAACCACCAACTCCTCTCGAAGTGCTTCTAGAGTCTTAGGAGGACGCTGCAAATTGAGCAATCTCCTACCCATCATATCCCACACGTGCTCAATTGCGGATAAGTCGGGAGATCTTGGCCATGGTAACAATGTGACATCATTATGTTGAAAGAAGTCTATTGTGACTCTTGCAACATGTGGTCTGACAACACCTAACCACAGTGTCTACACTTCTTTGCACTCTAACTGCAATTGCCCGAAAAGAAAGTCCAGCTTCCCGAAGTCCCACTATACGGCCCCTATCAAACTCGCTAAGTTGACGAAATCGTACAGGTCTCCGTACTCTAGGCATCGTAACCGATCGTAAAGGATGTCAAGAACCAAAATCCGCCAACGTTGATTCTTTACTGCGGCTGAAATATTCATTTTTACAGCGTTAGTGAATTAAAAAAAAGCAGTATAAAAACCGAAATGTCCAACTGATAAGGCTGACAATTTTTTCACTTGTTATTTACAGTAAGATAAATACATTCACCAACTTTTATTAAAATAAAACCATTTATACTGGGTGTTCGGATTTATATGTCACTTAGTATAGATAAACATATCGTCCAAGTGAGGATATTGTTTGTATTCAACTCATTCATTTAGCATGAGTGATAACAGAACTAGCCGGCATTAAAAACTCCCCCCGAATATACGGATACGATTTAACAAATTAATCCTCAAGACACAGTCTCTCTTCATCTGTAAAGTGAACTTGTCCTCCAAACATATCCATCCCTCAACTGATCATCACATATCACCCTCATCAGTCACCCTAAAACTACCTTTCCCTTCAATACAGAAATCCAACTCCTCAGCAACGCAGAGCGATTCCCAGAGCTGATAAAGCATGTAGTTATCAGTGTTGCGAAATCAAATGATTCGCTGCTCGGGCCGACAGACTTTCATAAAATGTATATCAAAGGCCCTCGAAAGCACACGTCATTAAGTTAATGAGCTTACTTCCCGACTGCCATGCCTGCCTCCAGCCTGACGCCGCTTCATCGCTGCTTGGCCCGCAAAAGCACCAACTACGGCGAGACCCGATGACGGCATGCCGCGACGAAAGTTTAAAATATGACCGAATATTGAATTTTTGTCGTTGGGCTCTGACGGCAGTCATGGACAGGTAACTGGGGGTTGTAGAGGCAGTAGAGGTGGGGCCATTTTTGCCGACTCAGTGTGTACCAACATATCGTTGGCAGTCTGACAATACCTGCTAACTGACATTTTTTTGAAAATGAGTTTTTTATGTATTTGACTTATAAATTAACGGCACATCATATGAAATAATCTACCAACTACAGATAATTCGTTTGTTGGCGCGCACCGCTTATTGTGTCCAGTTTTTCTCCGAATAACCAGCCAAGACTCCAGAAGTTTTCAAATAAGGGTAAGAATAAGTTTTACTTTATATGCATAATTATATTTTTGAACAAACAACTCATCAAAGCAATTAAAATCAACGTTTTGTAATAAAGCGCAGATAGCAGTCATTGCAATTATATTATTTCTGTATAAGGAGGAACTTAGCATGTTCTGTTTCTATTGATATTGTAAACTGTTATACACTGGAAAACACAAAAGTAGTGCTTTTTACCTGTTGGTAAGCATAATTATATTATTTTTATGATGTTTATGTCATCTAGGTGAACAAATGCAACTCACAGGTATGGTGCTTGTGCAGAATAAACACAAAATTATATTTTTCTTTTAGGAAAAATGGCGTCCCGAGCACAAAAAATCTTAAATCTAGTGAGAGAACAAGAAAAAACTAAATCAGCTCTCGAAGAACTTGATAATACAGTACAAACTGATTCCAAACAGTTGTACCAGCAGTACCAAGCACCTTACCAGAAAGATATGATGAACACATAAGCACCTTTAATGGATTTGATACCAACAGTATGGAGATCGTATTGGCTGATGATGTTCTTGAAATAGATGAAGCTGAGTTCAATCTTCCGCCAGCTGAGCTAGGAATAAATGTTTGTGGTTTAGAGGATAAAGACTTAGATCTTCGCCATCGTGATCAAGATCAGCCAACCGCTGGAAGTCATGGCAATTTTAGTAGCAGTAATAATGAAAGCGATCTTGACAGTGATTCCGTTCCAGATAATGTTTATGCATTAGAGGACGATAGCTTCGATGATAATGCTATCGAAAGTGATAAAGAAAATAGCGCAACTGAAAATCATCCTGAAGGACAGCCGACTGTCAATGATCATCAAAAACTTAATAATAATGAGACTAATTGGGGTGACATGAATGAAGGACGAAAAATAAAAATTACAGCAGACAAAAATGAATGGAAAAGGAATAAAAGCAATTTACTAAGAATGAAAGGGGAGGATTACCTTGGATTTTCGCGTGACAAGGACAAAAACTTCAAACATAATACTCCTCGCCCAGCGAGGAAACTGGGAATGGCATGTGTTTCAAAAATGTGTTTAAAATCAAAGAAGAGGTTTTGTAATACTTTCACCGAAGATATACGAAAAGAAATGTTTTCCCGTTTTTGGAAAAAAATGACGTGGGATCAAAGAAAGCTTTTTGTTTCTGGACATGTCAGCCTCCAGCCTCCATCTAGGAAAACAACTGAAAATGGAAGCAGTAGACGAAAAAATACCATGACATACAAACTACATAATGGTTCAGGATTGGTTCAAGTCTGTCGCAAAACATTTCTCAATACTACAGGGCTAGGACGATTCACAGTGGAAAGTTGGAAAAAAGAGAGTGTATACGATATGAACGAGTCTAAGGGAGAATTTAATAAACAGCGAAAGAATAGGAATAATAGGGTACGCGCTTTCGAGGACAGTAAAGCTTTCCTGAATTTATTTTTCGATGACCTTCCGAAACAGCCATCTCACTATGTGAGAAAGGATACCAGTAAATTTTATTTAGAGCAATATTTCGTTACTCTGAAGCAATTGCAAAATTTTTATAGAAAGGTTTGTGATGAGAAAAACAAGCATTGCCTGGGTATAAAGGTGTTTAAGCAGATGTTTAAAGAGAAAAATCTTAGTTTGTTTTCACCAAAGAAAGATAGATGTGACATTTGCATAGAGCAGGAAAATGGTAACATTGATAGTAGTATTTGGAGTAAACATATTGAAGACAAAGAAAAAGCTAGAAAAGAAAAAAACCGAGATAAGGAGAAAGCTGTGAAAGGCGAGTGCATTGTAATTTGCATGGATCTGCAATCTGTAAAAGTTGCTCCGTTGGTGAATGCAACAAAGATTTATTTTAAAACAAAGCTAAGCTGCCACAATTTCACCATACATAATATTGTAAGTCACCAAGCCACGTGCTATTGGTTTACCGAGGTCGACTCTGGACTGCAGGCGTCGACTTTCGTTTCATGTTTGCTGGATTATTTAAACAGGCATTGCTTACAACATAATTTGCCAATAATTATTTACTCAGACGGGTGCACATTTCAGAACAGGAACAACATTATGTCAAACGCTTTACTGAATTTTGCTTTTGCTATCATGTACAAAGTTACTATTATTCAAAAGTATCTCACTAAAGGCCATACACAGATGGAATGCGACTCAGTGCATAGTTGCATAGAAAGAAAGTTAAAAAACAGGATAATCAAGCTACCCAGTGATTATGTAACAGCGACTTTAGAAGCTAAAAAAAAACCATTCCCATACGAAGCGATCCAGCTGGAGCACACTTTTTTCAAAGATTGTAGTAAAACAGAGCTCCTGCGTTATTCGACAATCAGACCTGGCAGAGAGAACCTTGTGACCGACATCAAAGCGCTATGCTATGATCCCTGCGGTGAACTGAAAGTGAAGCTTGATTTCGATAACGATTTCAAAAGTCTTCAGAGTAGACCGAAACAAATCGCTGTGACTTCAAACTACCCTAGCCTTTACAGCGATAGACTGGAAATAACACAGACTAAATGGAAGTATCTACAATACTTGAAGAGCGTTATTTCCAAAGATTGCCATACATTTTATGACCTTCTTCCATACAAAAAAGATAAAACTGCCGAAAACACTACTGAGTCCGATGCTTTGGATGGAAAACAAAAAACGAAGAAATGCAAGAAATGAAGTTGTATGTACTTAACTATCTAAAATATGTTCTTTATTTTCTAAAACTATTATTATACCTATGATATTGTCCTTCTTTAGTTAATAAAGTTTCTTTATAGCAATTGCTGCTAAGTCGAAAAGTTACACCGTAACAATATCTGCTATGTGATTTTTAAGCAAAGTCCAATCATATTTTAGCAAAATTAGTTTATCCTGCTCACAGTAACAATAGAATTATAATAAAGTTGATATTTCACGTACAAGGGCCACCATACCAGACCCTGCCGACGATATGCTCATATCGTCATTAATTGAGATTGTATCACTGTATCTGTAATGTGATCGAGATCCCACATCTTCCGTTGTCCTGTCACAACGTATTTCACATATTCACGCCATTTTTAAGCATTATTCCAACAATATAAACACCCTTATACTTGACGCTTCAGAACCTCTAGCTAAAAAACAGGAAATAGATGATCCTGCAGCCACTCCCCGAGCTTCTCACCCTTTAGCTTTACCCATCAACAACATAAATGATTTACCTGGAATATGAAATAGTCTTTCGTGCAGGTGCCTCCAGCACTCATGCTTCTTGTTGAAATATTACTTAGCAACGTGTTTTTTCGATTTTTTCCGGAGGAATTGGATGCCCTTATTACTTATGATAATCCTCCACACACTTTTGAACTGTCAAGAACTGAAGGAAGTCACCGTTGTGATGGAAACGATTAACGAAATTAAAGAAGAATTTCAAATATAATTGAATTCAGTGGCCAGACAGAACATGGGGGATTATGGGAATCATATCGCACACCACTGCTTCTTGGCAAGACGTGGACGCAGAAGGGACGGCATGTTACACCATCACCGCTTGTTTTAGTCCCTGATGAATTTTTGATGTTTTTTTGAGTAGGTAATTTCTGCGGCGGTCATATATACCCTCTTATATTAAATTTTCTAAGAGGATTCTGGAGGGAACCGATTCAGATTTATTAATATTACGTGCGACCAAAGGCTTTCAGTCTCGCAAAGTTGTGGGGTAGTGCTTGAAGTTAAGCTTTAGCGACCATGGTATTGGATTCAGTGATTTTTACGCTCATGAAGTGCGCAAATCTACTTTTTTGATCACACTCACTTCCTACGGATAAGCCAAGGAAATATTAGTAATAATAATTATAAAATGCCTTTATCAAACTGGCCAGAAGCCAACAATTGTTTTACTATCATGTCTCTTTGCAATGGGGACCTAAGTAGTTGATAATAATTACCATAGTGTAAAATCTACATTATCATCACTGTGAGATAAAAAACATCCCACATATTAACATATTATGTTTAAATAGATAAAGCGTCATTAAATCTGAGTCTTTGGTTTTGTCCTTTAAATCTACTTGCTTGTTTGAAATTTATTGTTTAGCACCGCTTCATTATACGCAAAATATTTTTTGAAATGTGTTTTGTGAACAGAGACATTTAGTGTATGACCGACAAATTTGAGATTAGATCTATGATGATGATTATGCATTGACAATTTATCATTTACATTTGTAGGCTGCTTATTACAAAGAACGGAATGCACCATCCACCATCCATTTTTTCGTAGTCAACTATAGAATTCGCTGCAAATATGTTATGATACTTTCTTACCAAGGAACTCCTAATAAATTCCAGATGCTTGAGCTTTGAATCTTCTGTAGAGAATTGTGATCGGGGAAGTGTATTTTTCGCTTCTGTGCCTGGGTAATCCGTAAGACCTTTGCCCATTAGTTACTGTCTCAGGTGAGATAAGTTGAAAAATTTATAATTATTCAAGTTTTATCAGAATCTAATTTTGGGTGTACTAAAAGCTACTTCCTTTGAATCTCTTTGGAAATTCTTGGAACCCTGTTCAGATTTCATTCGATTTGCTTTTGTCTTTGTACCTCTTTTTCTTTTCCTACTATTGGAGGTGAACGATCACTGTAGCAAACTTTGCCCTTCCTTCAGTTTTCCTTAGGGTGTTTTCAAACGGCAAATCTGTGCTGTCAGTATCTAGTCATCACTCAGGACAACTTTTTCCTTCCCAAGTCTCGACCTTTTGTTTTACCTTTAATAATTAGTAGGGAATTCCCATACATCTCTTTCCTTATTTACGCTTATTTACTATCGTAATACCTCGCAGCTTGTAATCCTGAAAGTCCATGGAATTTTAAGTATCCTTCAATATCACCATATCTCAAATGTTTCTGATTTTGTTCGTGGTTATGTTTTTGGGTGTCTAAGTGTACGTGCACATACAAGGCGGAATAAAGCGAGGCGTAGCGTTGCGAGCAAGGCGGAAAATACAAACTAATATAATTCAACGCGAGAGTGCATACTGGTGGCGAACCGTAGCGAAATATTGCATAAAACAATTAATTACATCCCTAGCTTGTTCTGTAAAATTGTTATTTTTCCTATTTTTCTTTAGATCTGTGTTTTCCTTTGTGTTTTCTATTAGGGCAATACCTTCTTTATTAATAATTATATTATGCAACACACAAATGCAATTAGCAGTTTCTTCGGCATTTTCTGGAGATGTTTCTATTGTTTTTGTTAAAATACGCCATTTTGCAGCAAAGATTCCGAAGACGCATTGGACAACTCTTCGTGCTCTTGAAAGTCTATAGTTCAAAATCATCTTACGATAGGCTTCACCTCCTAATAAAACATATGGTAGCTTTTTATATGAGTTTGGTAAATTATGATCTGCTGCTAGTTTCCAGTAACTAAATGCAGATATAAAGCACTTTCTCGAAATATTCCACCATCTGATTGTTTACCGAAGACACCTGT